TAAGTAACCATTTTTTCTGTGATGGTCAGAACAGGATTTAGGTCAGTCAGTAAATAGATGACTAGGTACTGGTTCTCAAATAGCTCCCTCTGTAACTTTTGATATTTTCCCAGAGGCTACGTCTACATTGGCCCCTTCTCCGGAAGAGGCATGTTAATTTCCAACTTCAGAATAGGGAAATCCGCGGGGGATTTAAATATCCCCCGCGGGATTTAAATAAACATGGCCGCCGCTTTTTTTCCGGCTTGGGGAAAAGCCGGAAAAAAGCGTCTAGACTGGCGCGATCCTCCGGAATAAAGCCCTTTTCCGGAGGATCTCTTATTCCTACTTCGAAGTAGGAATAAGAGATCCTCCGGAAAAGGGCTTTATTCCGGAGGATCGCGCCAGTCTAGACGCTTTTTTCCGGTTTTTCCCCAAGCCGGAAAAAAAGCGGCGGCCATGTTTATTTAAATCCCGCGGGGGATATTTAAATCCCCCGCGGATTTCCCTATTCTGAAGTTGGAAATTAACATGCCTCTTCCGGAGAAGGGGCCAACGTAGACGTAGCCTTAGTGTTTCCAGTTGAAGTGCTGTATTTTATATCAAATGCATTGTTTGTAATCCTGACTGTCCAGTGATTGAAAGACATTAATACTTATGCTCGAGTCTTCTAATTTTTTTTCAGTATAAATTAGTATTTTCAGTTTATAACCTGCTAGGACCTGTTCAGACATTTTTAGGATGAAAAAAAGACATGGCAACTGCTGCTAATGCTTTTTTGGTGCATTTAGTCATTTTTCTGCAAGGGAACATTATAATCAAAAGCACAATGAAATTGTCCAAATAACACATTTTAATGACTTGCTACTAAATTACCCCTCATTTTTCTGCACATAAATTTTGAAAACTGGGAACAGTCTGTATTATTTCATCTTTTATTGAAGCATTTCTCATTGTGATTATATTGTATTGCTGATAAGCCTTCTAAAAACTACATTATAGGTTATTATATTTTCTATTGATTACATTTAAGTCAGAACACTTTTTGAGAGATGGACTTGCTTTATACTCTTGGAACCTATGGTCCTTGTCTCAAGGAATGATGAGCATTTCTGCTTAATGATCACATTAGCTGGTTTTAGTTATGACGTCCATTTGTCTTCAGTTGTTTTTATTGTTGCCTGTTCTGGCAATAATATGGTATGGATAGCTGGAGATCTATGTCTTTTAAAATTGTTCTAAATAAATAAGACTTAAATTATAACATCTTTAGTATTAGGAATGATATAGCTTTGGTTTATGTGATCAGTATACATTTAATTAACAAGACATCATTTGGAAAAAACAAAAATGTATTATAATGTTCTCCTTCATGAATTAAGTATTTAGTAAAAAATGAGAAAAAATGTACGAGGTTTTTCTTTTCCATAATTAATTGGGGTAGCTCTGGGAAGAGATGAGGGATTTTTGTTTCTCACAGAATTTCCTTGCTCCATTCTGTTCAGTGCAGACTACAACTTTGTTAGTGACTTCTTTTTGGCTAGATGCTGTGAATTAGATTGTTAAAGCTGTGTATTTTTCAGAATTATATATTTTCAGTATAAACCTTGACATCTTGCTTACTCATCTGATCCCTGCCATTTTTCTGTATTTTTCTGTATTGAGTTTCTTGCCCCTTTTTTTAATTCCAGAAAATAAAATTATAAAAAATGTTCAGATGCTAAAATATGCTTTAACTGCAACAGTGGCAACTAGCTCTCCCACCTCCAGGCAGACATCCCATCCAAACTGGGCTCAAACTGAGTTAAGAAGCCGTGTTGAAACATGGAGTCTGCATTCTAAAGCAGCTACCAACACAACTGGATTGACCAATATGCATGCAGCCCAATCATCTTATACATATATTTAAATGTTCCAACCGAAGACCCTATGGCTAGCCAGTATTTTGTTATCATTGGTTCTAGTTGGACACTTGTTTAAATACATTTTTTCAACTCATTTTGAAGTTGAGCAGAAATAGGGCCAAAATCCAAGGACAAATCTCATAGAAAGTTCTTCGGGTTCACTCCAAAGGTTCAATATTATCAGTACCAAGTCTTACCGTTCAGTTTGTCAGCAGCACCCAGTGTTTTTTCCAATGTTCTTGCAGTAGCAGTGGCCCATGTAAGAAAATCAGGCATAGTGATCTTCCCTTACTTGGACAATTGCCTGATAGTGGTTCCAATAGAGCAACAGGCCAAACAATTCACTGAGGTCATGATCAGACTCTTTACAAGGTTGAGGCTCCAAATAAACATGCGAAAGTCAAATCACACACCATCTCAGGAGCTGGAGTTCATAGGCGTCCATGCTGGACTGCATACAAGCACAGACTCAGCTACCTCTGCCAGATTCCACACCCTAACTATGCTAGCAAAAACAATCATAAACAGCCCCACGGTATCCGCCAGGCAATGCCTGCAGTTACTTGGACACGTCAGCAATGACATACGTAGTCCCTCGCGCGAGGTTACGCATGCAAACTCTCCAGTTGTGGCTACACATGCGCTTGTGCCCTCGCAGGCATTCATTGCACAGGAGGCTCAGTCCTTCAGACAAGGTCAGCCTCACATGATGGCTACATGATGGCATCCTCTGCTTGGGGGTTCCTTTCCATCAATCAGCCCTGTCTATTCACATAACGACGGATGCCACACTGGAGGGCTGGGTGGCACACACAGTATGCAGGGAAGATGGTCTCCCACGAGTCAAACCTAAACAACAATGTTCTCGAGCTATGAGCTGTAAGAAGAGCATTGCGAGCACTTTCTTCCCCTAATTCAGGGCAAACTGGTGAAAATATACAGATAGCACCACCTGCATGTTCTACATAAATCAACAGGGCGGAGCCAGATCATACCAATTTTGCAATGAGGCCACATCACTGTCTCACATCAGCATCCTCCATCGCATCAGCATATCAGCAATATTTCTCTCAGGCAAACAAAACATCGCTGTGGATCTACTGAGCTGCATATTTCACCAAGAACGTGAATGGGAAATATATCCGCAAGCCCTACATACTGTCTTCCTTAGGTGGGGCTTTGCAGAAATAGACTTATTTACCACATCACTCAACACCAAGTCCCCCGGGTATTATTCCAGGGCTGGTCTGGGCAACAACTCAATGGGGGATGCCATGTTGAACAACTGGTCTCGCTACTTACTGTATGCCTTTCTGCCTCTTTCTCTCCTTGGGAAAGTCATACACAAGACCGGGCCAGTGTGATCATCATAGCACCCACATGGCCCAGACAAACCTGGTTCCCTTACCTGTCACAGATGTCGAGTACTCCTCCGATTCCTCTTCCACAATGGCTGAATATAGTATATCAGGACTAGGGATGAGTTCTCCGTCCAGAAGTGCACTAGCTTCAGTTCATGGCAGCCCCTCACCTGCTCAGAGGAAGTACAAAGGATAATCCTTAACAGTTGCAAACAGAGCGCACAAAAGATTTACCTTTACAGATGCCCCATGAGTACGGGGGACAAGCTGGGAACATCCAGCATTGTGACTTCCCACTTGAAGGGTGCCGTGGAACCAAAGTTGCAGCACAGAACATCATCAGTGCCTAATACCGAGACTTCAGCTCACCTCCTGGCACCAGCAGTACCAACCCCACAGGCAGTGACACCAATGCCTGCACCGACAGTGGCACTGCAATCAACCCCTGCACCAACCTGGGGCAGAAAATATTACAATCTATCAAATATGATTATCATAGTCAAATCTGTGTATTGCCTTTGTATCTAAAGTTCTTCTTTGGATGATGTCCCCAAAGGTGCTCCACCGTTGGTCATCCCCAGAGCTGCATTTCGGAACTTTTTCTTAGCAGTTGTCAGTTGGGCTGTGCGTGCGTGGAAGGCTACTTACGCTATTGATAGTTTGACACCTCTTGTGCACAGCCTGACCACCCCCCCCCCTTCAGTTCTTCACTTACCATCCTCGGTCACCGATGGAGATTCTCTCTCACCTCAGGCATCTATTCTCTTTATGAATAATTTCAGTTTTATTCCTGCCTTTTTAGCATTTTATTGTTACTAGTTAGTTATTCGTTGCCAGTTCATCGTTCTATTTAAAAAAATAACACAACTTTTTAGCCTCGGTCCTGAATTTGGCATTCTCAGCTGCGGTCTGCTGAGGCTTGGTGACAATGCTTTCCTACCTCTCATGGATGTTGAGGGTTAGTTTTACTGATACACCTGAACGTCTGTACTCTGGATGTCCCTGACTCAGAAACACTTGTGATGTGGACCTTGGCAGGAGGAAGAGGGAGTGACTCTGGATGTTGTTACTTCCTCTCCTCCCTTTCCCCGCCCCCGGCTGGGGGAACAGCAGCATAGTAATGCATTTCTCTGAAGGCTTTTTCCTGCTGTTCCCGTAGGGGTGGGGGAAAGTGCCTGGGAGTTGTAGGGGGTACAGAACTATGTGTGCTCCCAGGAGTGAAGCACCACACTCTCATCCACCTGCCACCCTCCATATTCTGAAAAAATCCTTAATCTGGTGTACCCTGTTTCCCAGGGTTGTTGGATTAAAGAGGTTCAAGATGGAAGATGCTCTAGGAGTGCAAAAAATAATTAATAAATAATTAAGGCAGAGACAAAGCATGGGAAATTCCATTTCAAAAGATGAATGCTTTAGTAAGTTAGGCATGTGTGGAAACACGAGATTGTAACCAAAACAGCTTTGCCACTTTGGGCTGCCAATTACCAGTTTACATAGAACAGATAAACACGGAATTACTACCAGGCTGTGCCCTGTGCTCATTATGCTCACCAACCCTCCCCCTGTCAATAGCTTGAGAGCGTGAGTGGTGGTGTCATTCAGAGAGAGAGAGAGAGAGAGAGAGAGAGAGAGAGAGAATATTGATTGAGACCTCTGGAAATAGCTTTCAGGTCTCAAGTATTAAGGAAATGTTTGTTTCTGACAATTCATTTATTCAGAATCCTATATAAATGTTTAATGTTTTGCTTTTAAACAGAGCAGAGAAGCTACAGTTGCTTAACCACAGGCCAATGACTGCAGTTGAGATACAGCTGGTAAGTTATAATGCTCTTAACTGCTCAAAATCTATATATAAATTTCAGAAGAGAGAGGGGATGGGGGGGAAGGTAAATGTCTGTGAGCTAATGATATTAGAGATGATAATTGGGGAAGCTATCTTTGTAATGGATAAGATAATTAGTGTCTTTGTTAAGACCCCGTGTAAAGTGTCAAATTTAAGCATGAATGACAGTTCAGAGGTTTCTCTTTCAAGTCTGGTTCTGAAATTTGATTTGTCCTTTTTATATGTGTTCACTTTCTTCGATTGTATCCCTTTGGTATATATGGTCATGCCTATTTTCTTCCACAATTTGATCTGAGGAAGTGGGTCTGGCCCACGAAAGCTCATCACTTAATAAACCATCTTGTTAATCTTTAATGTGCTACATAGTCCTGTTTTTTGTTTCAGCTAGACTAAACTAACACGGTTACATCTCTATTACTATATATGGGTATGTCTACACTACAGCGCTAGTTCGAACTAGCTTAGTTCGAATTAGTTAATTAGAACTAAGCAAATTCGAACTAACGCGTCTAGAACTAAAAACTAGTTCGAATTAGCGTTTTGCTAATTCAAACTAGCAAGTCCACATTGAGTGGACTCTGAACAGGGCTTAAGGATGGCCGGAAGCAGTGCCGGCAGGGCATCAGAGGAGGACTTAGAGCGTGGAGATGCTCTCTCGGGCTAGCCGAGGGCTGCGCTTAAAGGGTCCCGACCCCCCGAACTAACGCGTCTAGAACTAAAAACTAGTTCGAATTAGCGTTTTGCTAATTCAAACTAGCAAGTCCACATTGAGTGGACTCTGAACAGGGCTTAAGGATGGCCGGAAGCAGTGCCGGCAGGGCATCAGAGGAGGACTTAGAGCGTGGAGATGCTCTCTCGGGCTAGCCGAGGGCTGCGCTTAAAGGGTCCCGACCCCCACCTCGGACAGACAGTTCTAAGGGGTGCCCCACTTGCAAAGAAGTTCTGGCTTGGAGTGCCCGGAGTACCCACACTGGGCACATCACAGCACTCGGCCATCAGCCCGGCTGCACTTGCCGCAGGCTGCCATCTGGGGAGAGGGGACAATCGGGGGGGCTGCAGGAGAGC